TTTGAATACGTCGCTTTGGCATAATGTAGTAAGACATCTAAGGATGCGAATGTAGTGTCTGACAAGGTTTTGCACATGTGCAAGCACCCGCACAAGGAGTGAAGCAGCAGTTGTGTGTTTCATCCAATTGATGAGGCAGTGCATGTGATGACATCTTGGAACTCACTTTGCAAAATTCGACAACTGAAGAGCAGTGAGATGTTATCAGATTTCTGACTGTAGAAGGGGTTAAACTGGCTGATATTCATTGCCAGATGATGGTCATACATGGAGGAGACTATATGTCCGACAAGTCAGTGAAAAAGTAGAGGGCCAGTTTTTTTGAAGGCTTGGAGTATATGAGCAATGACTCGAGACTAGCCCAGGTAAAAATGGTAATCATGGCCAAACTCATTGATAAGGTGAATGACTTGGTGAGAAGTGAACATCTCAAAGGGAAGTGCTTCAACTCGGACGATGAGCTAATGGACTCAGTAAAGGACTAGCTCCTGTAACAGCTACAGGAATTCTGGGAAAAGGGAATCCTTTGGCTCATGAAACAGTGGGATAGTTAGACTCAGGCCTTTAGTGATTACTTGTGAATAAAGACTTTAGTATATCTATAGCGTCATTTCATATCTTTTCATTTGAATACTCCTAATACACTCATTATAAACTAAAATCAGTTATTAACTGATATTGATACATGTATGTATATATATATATATATATATATATCATAGGTGACCAACTTCTGTATATACACAATTCAACTTTTTTTTTTTTTTTTAAATGAGCGTATCTGATCTGTCAATACTCCATATTAAACATATTCAAACTTAAATCTTGTATCCTAATAGCTGACAATAAAGGAACGGGTAATAAACTAACAATATTTTATTAACATTGATTAATTAAAAGCAGTCGCAAAAGAAAAAGCTACTGAAAGAACATTAATGCTACTGATCATACTAGTTATTATCTTGCATTTCCTTCCAGTTCTATGCTTAAATCAGTCTTGATGTAAATTCTGTAAGAAACACTAAATAACTAAGCCCCAACTACTTAAATTTGCACATTTTTTATTTTGCTCTTCAAGAAAACTTTTTATTTCAGTTAACAAATTTCATAATCATTGCAGAAATCTACTTCAGTACTTTTACGTTATCTGCCCAGCGCTCCTACATGATCACCAATTGTTGGTAACTACTTTTTTACCAACCATACATGTGTAAAAGAGCAGCCATTTTTTAAAAAATGACATTACATTGAAAATTACACAAAACAACAGTGAATTAACAAAATTAAAAATGTGAGAAACATCCATAATGATACACACAAAATTTCACAAAACAGTAACAAATTTAAAATGCAACAAAAAGCTACAATAAAAACTTTTTTTTTTTTCTTGGTCCATGTGTCCAGCAACCAGTTTTAACTTAAAAAAAAAAAAAAAAAAAAAAAAACCTAGAAAATTAAATATTTTTTTGGTGCTGCAGAGCAAGGCACTGCTCTCCATATATAGATATATAGAGCAACCTGTTTCAACTTCTTCCCCCCAAAAAGCACAGAAAGTTACAGAAATTTCAGCATCGCACAAACTTAGCACTGCTCTCCACGCACACATCGACCTGTTTTAACTTACAAAAACACAAAAGAATTGCTTTTATACGGGGGGGGGGGGAAATTGACTTTCTTGTTTTTCCCATACTAGATATGCATGCATCATGCAGATAATTGCATTTGGAGACAATAAAAAGAGTAACAATAATAAAACTTACAGATGTATACAGTCAAAAGTCGTTAATCCGGACACACGTAATGCGGAATGATCTATAATCCAGACTTCAAAACTACAAACTTTCTGCGCATGCGTCAATGCGTAGGCGTTCATGCATGTGCATAATACTTTTACGCATGTGCATATGCATGTGTGCATGCGCATAATACGTTTACGCATGCACATGTAATGTATGACAGATGGTATAAGCCAAGATAAAATTATCTAATTATCTACTTCAGTTAATGTTGCAGATTGCGTTGTTCCTTAATCTTCTAATTGGATCCGACTTATTATTTTTTGCAGACTGTTAGACCAATTTTATAAAAGTAAGCTTGAACTTTCGATTATGTCAAAAAGAATTTCCGATTCTGGAACTGCCAAAGGATCTACAAAGCGAAAGCATGTTTTGATGTCCATCAAACAAAAAGTGAAATTGTTGCAAAAAATGTATAAACGCATATCCTTTGTTCCTCTAACCATTCCGAAATCTGTTTATCAATTTCTAGCTGCTCTGCGGGGGAGGGGGGCGTCGCGGTGCGCAATGAATTGGAAGTTGATCTGTCACCACTATCCTTATCTTCAGGGCAGATGTTTTTATTTTATTTGGCTTTTAACTCCTTACTAAATGTAGTATTTCATCTTGATGTACTCCGTCTTTGATATGATTTAAATCAAATTCCTCGTCATTATAATTCGCTTCCGATAGTGAAAAAAGTGACACATACGTTATTGAAAACGAAAAAATTTTGATTGACAAATTGGTCGGTATTCTCGACACAGCAATTATAGGACTTGAACAGCGGAACTTTTTAACTGAACAAGAAATTATGTCTGTTTATAGAATTAAAGAGAAAGTATTATCACATAAAACGAAGCAACTTAAAAGAAATGTTTAATAAAATAAACAAATATTAAGCTTTTTTTTTTTTTTTTTTAATTTTGATACCCTTTAGATCATAATTGTTCTTTATTTCATAAATTATGGTTTCATATTTTTAATTTTATAATTTCTGCATGCCATCTTACCAGATTTAAACTGATGACCTATAATACGGAATCGCCGAAGTCACGACGAGTCCGGATTAAAGACTTTTGACTGTATTTATTTAAATCAGTAAATAAATAACAGCAATAAAACAAACAGCTGTCATAAATGGCCTTTGGCTATTCTCATACCAATTTCCTCTTTGCACTTGAACACTTTGCTGAAAACTTTGTGTTCAAGTGCAAAGAGGAAATTGGTGGTAGGTTAAAAAAACAAAAACTTGGAAATTTGCCCTAATTTTGACAAAGAGTTATAAATCCATTTATGTGGCCAGTTGTTGCTCCTGCTCCATTTGTTGTTATTGAAACGAATTTAAAAGGTAACAGTTATAATTCATGTAGAATTTTTTTAATAGAATTAAAAAAATGTTATCTACATCTCTAGTCCTTTCTTTCAAAGGAATCATCCCAACAATTTTTCTTTAGATGTGTGTTTTAAAGATGCAAAAATCATACAAATAAGAATAAGCAATTGTGATGTGTCACTTATATCTGTCAATTCATTAAATTTTAGGAAAAACAAGAACATCTATTAAAGTCTATGTACAACTATTTTCTAGCATTTTCATTCATTTTGTCAATCCGCCACCTCATAGCATTTCAGGACAATTATAGTTCTTTATGTAAAGTTGAAAGATGTCTCTTCAGATTACCCTTTTAAACAATACTATAGAAGCATTGCATATTAAGCAACAATTTATCATTCATCACTATTAAAAAGTAATCAAGTTCGCATTCTTTATAAAAGTGTGATTTTTTTCATTTACTAATAATTTTAATATATACTAAAATACAAAAAGCAGTATACAAGTAGACAGTTTTAGTTGTAATCATAGAACATATTTATACTTTTGCACAGGAGTAGTGTTAAGAAAAATTGACCCTTTTTCTAGAAATGTTTATGTTGCAACTACTAAATAAGAAACATGAGAATGCCAACTTATGTTTTTTCACACCAAGGATTAAAAGACAGCACGCCATGAAACCACCTAGATGATGTGTTGGGCAGTGAGCTGATGACAGGTGACACTGGACACAGCTCTTCCACTCTCTTGACAACTAGCACAAAAGGTGATTTGCCAGCATTAAGTATGATATTAAAACAGCCACAACTGTTTGTTTCCCTACATCATAAGCTATATTTGTGTCTTGAATTTTTTTTCTATTGGCTGTGATCAACTAGAAACTGCTTCACAATTTACTTGCTAGCCATTCCTGTTATATATAGTGTCCTAAAACATTTCCCAAATGCTAGGAATTCATTTTACAACCAATGGTAAACTCAAAAATTCCTGTGAACATAAAGCTAGAAAAATGAAGTTTACAAGCTATGGAAAATTTAACATTACTTACAAGAGGATGCAAAGATAACTTCCTTATCCTCTTGTCCCTATGTTCCCTGAGATAATTACAGCATATCTTAATATCCTTCCTTCAAACATTCTGGCAGCATATTTGAAGTATTATTCTAAGAAACTCTACGTATTTTAGAATGAGTTCTTGTAATCATGATACATAACTTCTGTTACTGCTGGTGGCTCACATTTTGAACACCTATTGAAGCATCCTCATACATATGCAGTCCTTCTTGCTGTATCTGTAATCTGTTCCATGAGCTAACACAATTTCTAAACGAGTTGACCCATAATATTAAACATGTTTACATGTTGTGACAAAAATTTGGCAACTTGTTGTAAATATTTCTACAACAAATTACCAAAGTAAGTCATAGACGGCATTGCCTGTATTAGGCAACTTCATTGTGAAATACGTTATACATACACTTATTTAGCATGTGACCAACAGTTGGATTTCTAAATGAAAATCACATTCACATTCAATAAATAGTATCAACAGTTTAATATAGAAATGGTAGCAAATATGTATAAACTGTATTTCAGTCAGATTTGTCTACAAGGATATTATTGAAGTATTACTGTAATTCTCTAGAAATAGAGACTTCAAAACAAATCACATTTCTGCATGACAATCACTATTTTAAAGAAAGTCACTGAAATATTTCCAAACTTCATAATCAAAATCAGTAATATCAAAATCAAATTAATGTTTTTAAAATAGAAACATAACTGGAATTTCATTTAAATTTATTTTTAAAAATCAAAAAGCAATTTTAAATAATAAGCTATCATAATTAATAGTTCATAATATCTCATCCCTCACCCAGTATACGCACCAATCCATGTCCAAGAACTCCTTCCCAGCACACTGAACGAAAGAACTCTTGTTTTTGAGCCTTTATGAAAAGGAACCTTAATCTTTTTGGAGTTAGATACTTATGAACCTGAAAGCCTTGATTCAGGAACAAGTCCACAAAATCTTCTCTGTTTGGTCTCGTTAAAGCTTGCTCAAAGACTGCTTTGTCCACCTGTTTGAGAAATAACAAAATATACAGCACTCTTAAAATAAAATAAATATTTGTAAATCAAAATGCTGATAATTTTTATATCTTTTTTTCTTATATATCAGTTGCAATATGTACTTAAGCTACTTTCCAAATTCAGAATTTAAGAGGAATAATATTTCAGTACTATCTTTCAATTGCAAGAAATAAATCTCACAAATAAAACTGCAAATTTTAATTCATTCAATGTCTTGTATCTTAAGACACAATAACACGCTGAATAAATACTAATTCAGAAGTCAAACAACAAAAATCAGCGTTATATTTACAAAATTTTCACAGGACTAGTTTCGATGGTTTTACCGAACCACCATCTTCAGCTGCAAAACCGCAAATGTTTGCGGTTTTGCAGCTGAAGATGGTGGTTCGGTAAAACCATCGAAACTAGTCCTGTGAAAATTTTGTAAATATAACGCTGATTTTTGTTGTTTGACTTCTGAATTAGTCTTGTATCTTGTATAATTATTTCATTTCTACATTAACTTCAAAATAAATCTAAAATTTTTATATTTATTTGAATTCACCATATTTATGAATATACAGATATATATGGGCACCCCAAAAGAAAATAAATACAACATTCATTTAGATTAAATTTATTCTTTGCTGTTTATACAGCTTCAAATTATAAAATTTTTAGACTATCAGAAGTTCAGTCTGATCTAATTAAAGTTAAGAAATATAGTAAAAACCAGCAAGTTAAACTGAAACTTAAATGCATATGAAAACAACCTGAGAAGGTAAATAATGGTGTTTTATTCGCTATGAGACTTCATCTTTATTTGGCTTGATGTAACTTAAATTGGTTTCTTAAAAGTACTAAGAGTAATTTCTTGTTTAAGTAATATTACTTGTACATAAAAGATGAAGCCTACAAAAGACAATTATTATATAAAATTAGTTATTTTCAGTAACCAGTTAAAATTAAATTTGCATCTTTCTTTTATGCCTTATGTCATCACAGACTTGCTGATTCCAGAGATTTAGGCAGATGTGAGTGGTAAGTAGTCAGTTATAAAGTTAGGGAAAGAATTCAAAACTCTATGAGAGTATTAAATCAACACTGGCTGTATGCTCATTGCACTTGCCTATTAATATCACTGCTTGAAAGGAAATTCAAAAAGTTAACATCATAATAAGTTAAAACTTGATCTACTTTTCAGTTGCCAACCAGTATCCTTGATCAGCCTGTAGCCTGTTATAGCCTTGATCAGAAATTACTTGGATTTGTAATCAACAGTCTATTAAGTTCAAAGAGTGTTTATTCTGTAATATATTAATTTATTCCTCAGAAGTGGTAAAGTAGAATAAATTTGACTTAAGGTTAGTGATAACTCACATCACAGCTTTTAGATAACACTGAAGAGTGACAGTCGGACTTTAAATAGTTATTAGTTAGAATTAGCTCTTTACCACGGTTACAAAATTAAAGCAGCATCAGTGCTAGAACTTGAAATAACATTCATGCATAATTCATACTCTTTAGAACTAAAACTCGGATTTAAAATCAGAATTTGAACTAATACCTCTTTATTTACATTGCTACTTGGCTGAGATAGTGGTTAGTGATGCTGACTGCCATATCAATAGACCAAAGTTCAAACCCTGGAGAAAGCATGGATATCTGTAAGCATATAGTGTCTGTGCAGCAACGAATAATGCAAAATATAAGGTGAGCTGAAAGCCCTCTCAAGAGATTGGTAGTAGAGGAATAGGTGTGGAAGACCCTTAAACTCCCCTCCCCTAGGATATTCTCCCTCAAAACTGAGGCAGTTAGTATGGTGGGGCTTCGAACAGTTGCGAGTTTCTGGTACCCCGCCCACTTCTACTTATACCTGTATTTACAGGTACTAGTAGTTTTCTACCTTTATCTGTTCCATGTGCATTTATTTATACTCATTTATTAAAAATAAATTAAAGTTATGTTAGATGTTGTTTTTATTTTATTTATTTATTTATTTTTTGTCATCCATTTTTATTTTTGATTTAATTTTACCCATACCTGCCAACCTTTAAAGATAAAAATTCAGAAGATTTCTCCAAAATTCAGAAGAACACGAAGAATTAATATCATGCTTTGATATTAAAAAAATAACAATTTATAAAAATAGAAAAAAGAAAATTGTACTTACATTAGTAAATCTCAATTAAGTAGTAACTAAAAAATTTATTAGGAAACATAAAACAAGAACTTAATGTTACACAAAAAAATTATTGCAATGAATTTAGAGTGCATTTTTTGGCTTTAGCCAAAAATTCTTCGGAAAATTTCCTGTCATAACAATTAGTTTCCTCATAACATTTAGCAATTAAAATGTTTTCTAGAGTTTTTGGTGAAATTGAAAAACGAAACATAGTTTTGTTTTTCTTCACAACACTGAAGACTCTCTCGCACTCAGCATTACTGTGTGGAATTACGAGAATAGCACATAGAACTCTTGCTAGTCTATCATATTTTGGTGTTCCATCAGCTCTTTTTATTCTTTTTAAGGTACCAAAGAGGACATCAAGTCTATCTTCTCCAGAACTGGCAAAGTCTTCAAACTGTGCAGCAGAAAAATGGTTCTGTAGTTCATCTAAAGCATCATTATGGCATTCATTTTCTTTAATTGTTAACAAAAATGGAAATTTATCAATAAAAAAATGAATCTTTTCAAAAGATGAATTTTCAATTTGTTTCAAATTTGCCACTTCAGCATTTAAAAGAACTTCATTTTGCAAAGGAAACTTCCTTACAATGTAATCACAGGCTGAGGAAAAGTACTTTCTAACACATTGAAAAAATTCTTTTTTCTCATGATCTTTCAAAGAATTTACAAGTTCCCTGGTTTGATTTCCAATTATAAGATCATTGTCATCCTTTTGATTTGCCAAACTATTTTAGGCAACACGAATCAACACACTGTTTTTCACAACGGACGGTTTTACAAACTTAGTATAAAGTTCTTTCAAAGAGTTCAAAGAAAAGAGTGGGAGAAACAAGTTCAGCGCATTGGATTGGCTGGTTAAGCGGCGAGTTGGGAGAAACCGCAGGTTACTGGATTCAAAGTAGTTGGCGGTAAAACACGATGCAATTGGCGAAAAATTCTAAAATTTAGACAAAAATGACTAAAAACACTTGAAAAAGGGATCGTAAAAAATGGATTACGATAGTAAAAACAAACGCATTTTCGTAAAAATTACGAAAAATTCGTAAAAGTTGGCAGGTATGTTTTACCATAAATCAAAATATAATTCATAAACTTTAATTATTTAGCAGTACTCAAAACAGATCAGAATTGTTAATATTTTAGTACAGAATTTTTAAACCCAATTTGATATTTCAGCTTAATTTAATCAAAATTTAAAGACCTAATTTTTTTTTTTTTTTTTTTTTTTTTTTTTTTTTTTAAGTAGTACAACAAAACTTACTACATCTTAATAGTAAATTTTCACTAGCAATCTTCTAGTGAAAACAGAAAATTCTAGCTAATGAAGAGGTCACTTATTTCACTAAACTCAGAATCCTTTCACTAAACTCAAAATCCTGTATCAACTTTCAGTTTTGTTACTAGTTAGTTAACATGCAAATAAAACAATTAATAGTAAGAAGTCTTTTTTTCTTACTTTGAATTTGTTTGAGGGATCTTTAAAGAATACTTCAGACATTGCTACATGAGGACTATTCCAATCTAAAGTTAAATGAAGATCTTTCTGCATCTGAGCATGCCAATTTGTAGTATCTGGTCTCTGTGCTGTAAAAGCAGTTTGGTAACTATGATTCATTAGCAGATAAAAATTTCGAATTTGCGAAATGTTTACAATTTTGCATGAACAGAAATATTATATAATTTTCATAAATGATAATGAACCTAATAATTAAAGATATATTATTAAAAATCTATACATATGCAAATAAAATTAAATAAGCTTGATATACAAAATTTTCAAAGAAACAAATTTGACTACAAATATTGTTCTTGGGACTAAAAATGTTATTTTTTCTGAATAAAATAATAGTACAAAGTATAAAAATATATTTAAAGTACTGAATCTAAGATATTTTGTAAAATATATGATTCCAAAACACAAGTACTAAATTCCAAAATTCAAATAATGCCAGACTTACCCATATCCATGAATTGTGAGAATTAAAAATCAAAAAACAAAATATATATATATAAAAAAAGATAAAGCTACGTAAGTACAATGAATCAAACTATCCAACAGAAAGAAATTTCATGAAATCTCTACATATAATAAAAGAAAGAGTCTCTGTGTGTGTCTTTTATTCATGCAGTGCTTAAGCTAATAAACCCAGGGCTACGAAATTTGGTACATAGGTGCATCTAGACAAGATCCAGTGCACCGTGATTTTTTTCAAAATTCGAATCAGATTTTTTGGATTTTATCTTTTTTGATGAAATTGCATCATTTTGAGTAGTTTCATTCTTTTAGAAATGTGGTTTTGGCAACAGTTTTTCATTCAATGCTTTGTATACTGGACTACTGACTGTTAAAAATACGAGATAAAATGCTGTTTATTTTCTTTTGATTTTTGGACACGCAACACGTACATCGTAATTTTCTGATTCTGAGGAGCATATGTCTCGTGAAGCCCAACAGAAAAGAATTTCCTTTCCCCCCTCTCTTTATTAGCCAATGGCAAAGAGGTTTGTATATTTTGAATTACGTCATATACAAAACACAATTTTGATTGATTATTGCTTTCTGATAATAGTTTCATTCTTTTAGAAATGTGGTTTAAGCAACAGTTTTTCCTTCATTGCTTTGGATACTAGACTGCTGACTGTTTTCTCTTGAAAATATGAGATTTATTGCTTATTCCATTGTAATTTTTTATATTATGTTTTAATTATATAAAAAGTTTTGCACGATTTGTTTTAAGAAACAAAGTTCTTAACTTCCTTTATACCATTTGAATTCTTAAGATTTTGCAACGGGAAGTTGGTTAATTTATTAGGATAATTAATATTTGTATTAAAGGATATTGCATATTTCATTATAATTTTTTTATATGTAATACATTTAAAAAAAAATTTGATAAAGCTCTACAGAGTAAAATTCTGTGCAGTTTTTAAATTTAATGTTTGGTGTTTCCTTTAGGCACTTTTCTGCTACATTTAAAAGCCAGACAAAGGCTGGCCACGTAGCGGCTAGTAAATTATAAACTGACAAAACTAAGAATAGAAAGGGCATTTTTTAACCATGGTTTTATGGATTAATCATATTTTATGCAAATGCAGCATTTTCACTTCTCACTGCATATCTATCTAGACCTAAAACCAGATTTTGACATGTAATGAAGAGATTCAAAAATACAAAACATGAATGAAAAAAAAAAAAAAAAAAAAAAAAAACTCGCATAAAATATTTCATGAAACCTACCCAAAAAATAGTAACCTATTAAAAACTACCAAAAAATGGCAATTTACCTCACATGAATTAAGTGCAATTAATAGTTTTTAAATTACAACTAACCTATATATATTTATAGAGAAAAAGATTACAGTCAAAAGTCGTTAATTCGGACACCCATAATACGGACCTCAAAGCTAAAAACTTTCTGCGCATGCATCGCGTTCATGCATGAGCACAGGTGCTTACGAGTGCTCGTAAGACCTTTACAGTTGCGAATATGTGTGTGCGCATGCGCGTTTAATGTGTAACGGACGGTACAAGTTTAAGCTAAAATTATCTAATTCAGTTAATGTTGCCGATTGCCTTCGAATTGGATCCGGCTTATTATTTTTTGCAGACTGTTACAGCAATTTTATAAAAGTAAGTTTGAACTTTCGATTATGTCAAATAGAATTTCCGATATATATTTACTAATACATAATTTGTATCTACAAAGCGAAAGTATGTTTCGAAATCCGAAATCTGTTTATCAATTTCACGCCTCGGCGTGCAATGAATTGGAAGTTGATCTGTCAGCACTATCCTTATCTTCAGGGCAGATTTTTTATTTTATTTGGCTTATAATTCCTTACTAAGTGTAGTATTTCATCTCGATGTACTCCGTCTTTGATATGATTTAAATCAAGTCCCTCGTCATTATAATTCGCTTCCGACATTTGAAGAAAGTGACCCAGAGGTTATTGAAAACGAAAACATTTCGATTGACAAATTAGTCGGTATTCTCAACACAGCAATTATAGGACTTGAACAGCGGAACTTTGTAACTAAACAAGAAATTATGTCTGTTTAATAGAATTAAAGAGAAAGCATTATCACATGAAACGAAGCAACTTACATTGAAAGAAATGTTTAATAAAGTAAACAAATATTAAGCTTTTTCTTTTTGTAAATTTTGATATCCTTTAGATCATAATTGTTCTTTATTTCATAAATTACGGTTTCATATTTTTAATTTTGTAATTTCTGCGTGCCATCTTACCAGATTTAAACTGATGATCTATAATCTGGAATCGCCGAAGTCCCGACGAGTCCGGATTAACGACTTTTGACTATATAATACTTTTAGAAAGAAAAAAAAACATTGACAGTTTTCGGTTATACTCAGTGCAACATTTATAGTTCTCAATGTGGTAGTAAAGTCTTTAATTAAATATATTTAACTACTGATATCAATTTCTATATACTATTTAGAGATATTTAAACTTTGATTCCAAAATGAATGGCATAGAAAAGTGTTCATTCTGTTTGTTTCCTTTCAATGCTTATTCTTACGAACATATATAATTAAAAATGAAATAATCTTTTCTCTTTAGACTATTCAACACCTTTACAATGTTTTAATTTGAACACTATTTCCAAATATTCAGGGTCTATTAATTTCTATTGTATGCAGTACATCTTAATATCATTCCTGAATTTTGGTACTTTTTTAAAGCAATCATTATGCAAATAAAGTTCAAAAAACAAACTTCAAGATACTTCAATTATATTAATCTAAAAAATTTTTGCCGAATTCTGCTAGGTTCAAATTTGTAATATGATTTAAATTAACACAGTATTCAAACAAATAATATATAATAATTTGCTTTGCAAACTGAAACTGGAAAATTTTTGCTTTAATCTCCTTTTTTAGAGCATTGTATACTTTCATTTACTACTACTGTTAGTTAAAAATTTTAGTGACTAATTCATTCAGCATTAATGGTTGCTCATGATAAAACATTCATATTAAAATGGTTGCTCATTAATTTCAACATTATTTCAGATAGAATTTTATTAACTACTACATTGAAAAGCCAGATATAGCTGAAATCAATTATTTACCATCTGGCCAAATCACCATCTATTGCATTCTTTATTAAAATTGGTCTTTTTCATAAATAAATTTTAGAGGACAAAGCTTAATACAGGGTAATTGTGAATTCTAATTCAGGTTTTCAAATATTTCATTACAAAAATCCCATATCAAATTATATAAAATTTTTGTTTTAATGTAGCTAATTTTCATGAGCAAGATTATTATATTTTCAGTTTACAAAAACATATAACATAATCCATTAATATAAAGTTGGCTTTTCATATCATGTTTTATGATTACTTTTAATATCTTCATTGTACTCTTTCCACCTTCAGAATTAGCATTATTCTTAATTCTGTTTAAAATTATAGAACAGTTTTCTTTCAAAATAGCGCTGATGTTTACTGAAAGTTATATGTTTTAATCATTAAATAGAATTATTTATTAATTGATTAATTAAAAATAAAGATTAAATTAATCTAAACCTAATTAAAAATAAAGATTCTAAAATTCTATAAATGTACACTTAAATCCAATTAATAAGTGAACTCACATTTAAAAAGGGCACGCAAAATATGCTCATCTAAATCCTCCATATTGCATGTATGACTGTGCAAATTTAATACTGTAAGATACACTTGACCATTCTAAAAGTAGAAAAGAAAACTTGTTAAATACAATACATGAATTCTTATTTTAAAAAGTTATGGCAATCACTACAGATACAGAAACAAAATTAAAATAGAAATCAAAAATGAAAGAAAGGATTCACATTACATACCACCAGAGGATTTATTAATATTTTTACACTCTCTGCTCTTGGACTCATTCTTGCTAAAATATTTTTTTCTGTTATTACGCATTTTATGTGTTGCACTTATGCCACATAAAATTAAACAGTAAAATCACAAAATATTTAAAAATAGCATATCTTTAGAATTTTTAGTGTTAGGGATTGTCAAACTTTTTTATATATATATTTGCTACATTATCTCTTTAGAAACTACCCACTCAAATGGCCAGCCACCTAAAAGAGTTGTCATAAAAATAATTTGCATGCAGGTTTACACACACATACCAAAAAAGAAAAATAATGAAATATAAAATGTTAAGATTTAATTTTAATAAGTATACATATTATTGTTTTATGTATTTTAGTATTATCCTTATAAATTACACAAAAATTGTCTCATAAAAATAAGTAAAATTCATAAAAAGGACTTTCAAAATACCTGATGTGCATATCGGACACATTCTATAATTCTATCACGAAATAGGTTCCTTGCTAAGTTGTTTTCTCTGAGCTTTGAAAAATGATGAGCAATTTTGCTAGATAACTCTGGTTTTAAAGAATTTTCCACATACTCAGCATCATATATGCCCCTAGGTCTAGAAACAAAACATAAATAAATACCTATACCATCATATAAATCAAATTGCATTTTTTTATTAATAGTTCTTTTTAATTACCTTTCAGAAATTTCATAATATGCATATGCTAACAGGTCTGCTAATCCCCCACTACCACGAACAACAACAACTGGAAGATGCTTCTTTAGATGCTCTAAAATAAGACGTGCACATTCATATCCTCCTTGAATAAGCAAAGCAACTACTGGGATCTCATTTATTGATAATGAACAAACATCTGCATGTCGTCGAGGTGCTTTAAAAATAACAAATAGTTAAACATAAGGCAAAAAATTTTTTTCAAGAGAGTCTGAAATTTCATATCATACTTTCATATACTTTCATCATACTTTCATACCATATCAAAGTTTTGAACATAAAACTACATAAAGACTAGATTTTTACAGGGTTGCCACTCAAACAGGAGAATGAAATTTCCCTGACTTTTCCAGGTTTTCCAGGTATGTTTCGAGAAAATTCCAGTCTATCCGCGTAATGTACGTTGGCTGTGCTAAGAGGTAAATTAATTATGGTATTACTTGTACTGCGTAGCAAATTCACTTAATTATTCAATAAATCCCAGACGACATTTATTCTTAATTATTCTTGGTACACTTTGTTTGATAATTTTGTTTTACTTTTCCGCTTAAAAAACTTAATAAAATTTAACATATGTACGTTTTATTTAATTATTACTCATGATCATCCCCAGTTCAACACGAGGCTAATCCGGTTCTTATAAATCACAACGCAATGCTTAAAGTTAGGTTAGATTTTAGGTAAATTTAATTTGTGTGAGGTGTATTCTTAAAAGGCACCTTAACACTTGAAAACACAAATATAATTATAATAGGAGTCGTTTTCTCCACTGAAGATTGAGATTAGAATCTGCCCAATTTGGAATAAAATAAGTCTTTTTTTGCAGACATTCTGCAGCTAAAACGAAAGAAAGAAATCTATTTAATGATATTTTTTTACTAAATTGAGGTATTTTATATTTATTTCACAGCATACATAAGGAAAAAATATGTGCATTAAATTTCGTGATGTCATCATACTCCCAGAATTAATTTCAGGATTATACAAGAGAAAATTTCCTGAAATTTGGAAATATTATTTACTAATGATAAATAAATTTAGAGGGAAGAGCAACATAAAGCAACAACATTAAATGATATGAATAACATAAAAATAAAGATAATTACTTAAAAATTTAATTAGAATAATCAACGATATTTTAGCGAATATAGTTATATTACATGGTTATCCTAGATGATTGATTACTATTTTTTCATTTTACTGCAAAATGACAAGGTATTTATTAAAAAGAAAAGAAAAGAAGAAAAAAAAGATTTTGCCGTAAAATCCTAGTATACGATACGGCTTTCGCGTAATTTTGAAAACTGTCGCCAAGAACAAAATGACCCGTTTACTGCTCATCATCATGTCGCCAAATCCCACTGTACCATACATGGAGATTATTCTGACCAAAGAACGTCTATGTAAAAAGAGGACGGAAAATTTGCCACTCAAACAGGAGAATGAAATTCCCTGACTTTTCCAGGTTTTCCAGGTATGTTTCGCGAGAAAATTCCAGTCTATCCGCGCGTAATGTACGTTGGGCTGTGCTAAGAGGTAAATTAATTATGGTTATTACTTGTACTGTGTAGCAAATTCACTTAATTATTCAATAAATCCCAGACGATATTTATTCTTAATTATTCTTGGTACACTTTGTTTGATAATTTTGTTTACTTTTCCGCTTAAAAAACTTAATAAAATTTAAGATATATACGTTTTATTTAATTATTACTCATGATCATCCCCAGTTCAACACAAGGCTAATCCCGGTTCTTATAAATCACAACGCAATGCTTAAAGTTAGGTTAGATTTTAGGTAAATTTAATTTGTGTGAGGTGTATTCTTAAAAGGCACCTTAACACTTGAAAACACAAATATAATTATAATAGGAGTTGTTTTCTCCACTGAAGATTGAGATTAGAATCTGCCCAATCTGGAATAAAATAAGTCTTTTTTTGCAGACATTCTGCAGCTAAAACGAAAGAAAGAAATCTATTTAATGATATTTTTTTACTAAATTGAGGTATTTTATATTTAATTCGCAGCATACATAAGGAAAAAAAATATGTGCATTAAATTTCGTGATGTCATCATACTGCCAGAATTAATTTCAGGATTATACCAGAGAAAATTTCCTGAAATTTGGAAATATTATTTACTAATGATAAATAAATTTAGAGGGAAGAAGCAACATTAAATGATATGAATAACATAAAAATAAAGATAATTACTTAAAAATTTAATTAGAATAATCAACGATATTTTAGCGAATATAGTTATATTACATGGTTATCCTAGATGATCGATTACTATTTTTTCATTTTACTGCAAAATGACAAGGTATTTATTAAAAAAAGAAAAGAAGAAAAAAATGATTTTGCGGTAAAATCCTAGTATACGATACGGCCTTCGCATGATTTTGAAAATTGTCGCCAAGAGCAAAATGACCCGTTTACTGCTCATCATCATGTTGCCAAATCCCGCTGTACCATACAAGGAGATTATTCTCACCAAAGAACGTCTATGTAAAAAGCGGAGGGAAAATTTGCCAAGGGATTTGACGACGGAACGGCCAGAATTTCCCTCTCCGCGATGTGTACAGGAAATTGAGAAACACGTGTTAAGAAGAAACGTTCTTTGACAAAAAAAGAAAACTACGAAAATCCGTTTTTTTTAAATTATTGCGAAAAATCCAAGAAGAAACGTTTTATCAAAGAACGTTTTTTTCTTGGATTTTTCGCAATAATTTTATAAACGGATATTCGTAGATTCCCCCCCTCAAAATAACTAATCCATGAATTAATTTACTTGCGGCAAAAAATATTTTCTTTTCCTTTAGAGTTTAAAGACATTTTAAACGATATTCATTTTATGAACTCTTGATAACGTGACCTTCGAACTTCGACACCGGTTTCGAGCTTTGGCGACAGATATATTGTGCATGCACAGCTGTTTCCCGCTATGATGGAACCGAGCCACGTCTGTTGCAGAGAGGTTTTCCTTCTTTATAATACATATTCTTTGATTCTAACCTCCATGGTACCGTATTTATGGTACCGCATGGTACTAGGATTAAACCCATTTTGTTTTATACGAGAAACAGGTAACTTTCTTTAGTTCATGCACTGCACATGCGATTCGATTCTTGAGGTTACTTGGAAACCAAAAGTTGTGGGAAACTTGCTTTGCCTTTCTAAAAAAGACAATCAAATTGGAGCTGCGGAAAATTGGCTCTATGCCAGCTGCCCGAATGACACTCACGTGATACACAATTTCATGTAAGAAAAAAAAAGTTGATCTCTTCCGACGTCGGCGCAAAACTCGCCTTTTTTAGCGGGATCGTTGTATGAAATTCCCTGACTTTTTTGGTCCCTGACTTTTTCCGGTTTTCCAGGTAGCGTGGCAACCCTGTTTTTATGACAAGAGATATTTGTTTAAAATTTCTATGTAAATTAACAATTTTGCACTTTTTTGTATAAGGCAGAATCAATTTTTTAAATTTAGTCTTTCATTTATAACTATAGATATTTACTTACCAAAATTTATTTAATAATAATGCTATCATTCATGTATAATCTTCAGTTTTATAAACTGGCATTTAAAAATATAAATGAGTCAAATTGCCATTTAAAAAATAAATGAGTATTACTCAGATATTAAATAAATTATGCTTTCATTCATTAATTTACATTCTAACTACACACTAGACCACAAAAAATATCAATGTAGCATTCATACTTTTTGATAATTAGATTTAATATCTAAATTATTATTATTTTATTGGCATGATATTTGAGAAAGGTATTTGCCAAATACACACAATAAACTTAGAAATTTTTAAAAAGTGAATTCTACCTCAGACAGAATATTTTTGCTCAATTACATATTAAACAAAAAAGGTGATAATTTATATTTCCAGTGAACAGGTATAGAAGATGTACAACAAATTATCCAGATGCTGAAATGAAGAATAAGCAGGTAATTATACTCGGTATCTTGCAAAATGATTACATGTGTGAAAACAGTCCATAAGATATCATACATTTTGAAACTTTTTGAATGAAAACTACTTGGTCTATTCATTTTCTGAGATACAAGAGATTGATTTATAAAATCACCTTTCCCTTTGCAGATGATAATTTAAACAAATTGTTTTAGTCGATTCAAACTAGAAAAGGACATTAGCATAACAATTTTTTTATTATATTATACAATACCTGAATATCATATTTTAATGAAGTAAATAATAATTTTTTTCAGGATATTACGATTAAATTTTAAAAGATGTAACCACTCTTTTAAATGCATTTTATGAAAACTGCTAAATATTCCCAGCATGGAATGCCATATGTTCCTGCCATTTTTCAATAGTCTACATTCTTAAAACATTTAAATCTTTAATAAAATACCATGCCTGGCTCTAGGCACAGGGGACACAGACGGTTATATAGGGCTCCAATTACAGAAGGTGTCATTCAAATCTTTCTTATATTTAGTGCAAAACAATAAATGAATGATGAAATTATTTATTTCTTTAAAGATGGAATTGTTTTGTCTAGCACATCTTTATAGCGTCACCAAAGTAAATTGAGCTTTTGACTAGATTTATTTCTGGTGTGCAGGACATTCCCTCCCAAACCAGTTCTTTTCTGGTCAAAAAAATCTTATCTGTGCTTTTAATTTATTTTATTTGGATCCGTACTGCTGCAGTTATTTTGCTTTTGTACCAAAACCTGTATTTTTAACCATTAGAACTTAATAGAATTATTAGAAATGAATAAATAATAATGTTTAATTACGAATATTCCAAAAAACTACAGTAGATCCAAAAAAGCATTTTCAAAAATATTTCTTCTTTCCAAACATTTTTTTAATTCAGACAAAAATCCAAGCAGTTCAGTATAGAAAAACACACACTATTAATCTCTTTATGACTTTAAAAAACTGAATAGAAGAAGCTCATTACATGAAAACTGCAAAATTTTGCAAAGTATTTTAACACAATCCACAACTGAAAACAGATAAACAGTCATCAGTGGTAAGTGATGACCACTGAACTGTTCAGTTTACAGGACCTTTTTGCTGGAGTGGGAAAAAACACCAGAAGTTACTCCTTCATTCACACGTACACTTCAAGAGACATTTAAAGTATGGTTCACCTTATGAATTTTTTAAATAGAAAATTCTGGTACCAGTAATTACAACAAATGAGGAGAGTGTTTCCAAGTTAAAACTGATAAAATGAAATTCTTTTTCATTTCTGACGACAGAAAATACTTTTAAAAAATTATCACCTCATCTATCATTTTCAATTATGAAAAATCTGAGTTCATTTATAGTAGAATGCAAATATTAAAAGCACTGCATTTTAAAATTAACTAACTAGCAAAGGTGTTTTATATGTTTGTTAAAGTATATTTCAATTTAAAATAATATATTTAAATATATGACAGGCCAACTGCTTTGATCGCTTAAGACTTTGAAAATGACACTGCCAGGCTTGATAAACAGATTCTATCAAAGATGCAATAAATAAAATTGTGTTTTATTATCTGAAGGAATATTTACAAAAAAAAAAAAAAATAATAATAATAATAATAATAAATAAATTAACCAAATGAACTTACTAATAGCATCAATATCACATTGAATAGAATCAGCTGAAGATAAGTATTGTTCCAATTTTAGTATAAAATGATTTATGCCAGTTTTATTTATTGTGTTGTCTCTCACAATAATGAAATGGGAATGATCTGGATTTAACTCATATTTATTTTCTTCAGGATGGTTACCCTCATTTTCAATTTCAACTCTTTGGGCCTGTAAATTGAGAATATATATATATAAGTAAAACATTTGCTTAAAACCAAAACTGTAGTATAACAAAATTTAGATAGTTAATAGATATAGCAGTTTCCTGAAATTTTCTAATTTGGAGAAAGTTACAAGTCTTCCATAGGGCTGAGAATGGAACATCAAGTATATGAAAATGATGTGGAAGGTGAATTTGGCTAAAAAACGTTTTATCCCTAGAAATGCAAGACATCACAAAAAGTTACTGAAAATATATGCCATCTGACCACAATACATCCAGAAACTTAAAAACAGATGCATACACATATTTGAAAAAAAGAATAAAGTTTCCACAAAATATCACTAGAGGGCAATTTTACTCATATTTAAGACGATATATATGCAGGTAACTTAAATATCTCCTTCATCAGCACTATAATAGAAATTTACCCATTTAGCAAAGGTGTGTTTAGCCACTTAGCAAAGATGAAAAGTAACACATTTTCTAATTTACTTTATTGTTACTAAACTATTTTTATTGTTTGTTAAATTTGGAGATTAAGCAGAATGCCCAGCATCCACAAATACTGAGTAGAAATATCATTCATGTAAGACCAGAACGCATAAACTTATACAGATGCTGATGCTACTGATAGTCTGCTTATCTCTATTTCAAGTCGCATGACAAAATTATAAAACAGATAAATGCCGAAATTATAAGATAAAGAAAAATATCATCTGTCAATCATCAAGGAAGTAAATATAGAGAGAATGAATCAAATATTTGAAACATAAGTTCAGCTGTAGGCATGAAAAACAATTTTAAGTTTTGATTTAATTTTCAACAGCATATGTTTCAGAAGTATGCTTTATGCTTCAGCATCTAAATCTAAAATGAGAAAATATCCAACATAATACTTAAATAAAATTATTAATATTTACTATTTTTGTACTTCATCATAAAATGATTAAATAAACACACTTTTATGATAAATTATGAACGTACGTAAACATTTTATATTGCTTAAATAATGTTACCATTCCGGGGTTTATAATAATGAATGAGACTCTTCTCTATAATTATGAATTAATCATTCATATGTTTAAGAAATTTAATTATGCTCTGTACCCCAAAAGTGTTTTTTAATACAAATAATGATAAAATTTTCATTCAGTGCCAATAAATAATACATTTAATGCATACTTTAGACATACATTTAGAAAACAAGTACTGCAAATGGATAAATATTATTTAATATTATTTTTACTTGTAATGATTTCCACAAAAGGTTTTAATAATTTGTTTCAATTAGCTCTAAACGTTTAGCAGATAACAACAAATCAAGCAGAGTTAATAAAGTTCAGCCTTGAGTAAAAGTAAAATTTAAAAGAACATGTGTATAACTTATGAAATAATTGTAATAAAGTAAAACACACGCACAAATTTAGAATTCTAATCCTTGAATATTTTACTTACTGCAATCCTATTTTATACTTAGCAAATTAAGAAGAAAAATAAATAAAGCTAATTAAAATCATGGAAATTCCTTCTGAATGATCTGATAAAATTGAAAATGAATTTATTCCTGTAATCAAATAATTCAGAACATCAAAGAACAATTTCCATAAAAGGACAGTATGCAGCTCCTTGGTAGAAGTAAATGGAGATGCATCATTCTTCCACAATGTTGGTTTCACAGATGCTGGTCATATCATCCAGGTAACACATTTCATTTTGAAAATATCTTTCCATAAGGTTTGTTCTATACGAAAAAAGAAAATTTAGAACAATTGCTGCAGTATAAAGCCCACTCATGGTTTTATGGAATTGATCCTGATATCAATCTATCATCACAATACATCCTGTCAATACATGAGGATTAGAACATAAACCAATAAAAGACAGCCCATATCATCCCATTCCAGTGGTTTCAGATGCAGTGATCAAATATGTTCCTGAGCTGGCTGCATGTTCTTTTTTTATTCCAGACCATCACATATTTATTAGCCGATTCTAAGACAAATCTTAGTTTAGCCATAAAGAGATCATCAAACTGCCGTACTTGAATCTTACTGACATTCTGACAACCATACCATTGCACCAAGAAACATTGCTCCTGGACCATTATTATTTGAGTCTAAATGACTTGCTAAGAGCAAAACCAATTTAATCCTGATTTCTTGGCCATATACTTCACTGGCACATATGTATTTGATAGCTATGTATACAGATCTCTTGCACAGAACTCAGCCTCACAATACTGTATAAGTCCACCTGGACATCCAATAAGTGGAACTTCACACAAAAATCTCTTTAGACAATTTTTTTTTTCTCACACTGTGTAGGAATGAAGATCATACTGAAAACAAATATTGCCACAAATCAATTTTTCTCTTAATTAGCTGAGATCCCCCCCAAGAAACATCGATGGCAGTATTGAATCTGCATATTACTTTGCCTTTGAGCATTTACCCATAAGGAAACCATCTTCTCATTTTAAGCTTTTAAGCTACTAATGAAGTAATATTTCTCTTTTATCTTAACAAGCTCTGTACACAATTTTTTTTTAAATCTTATCAAACCCTGTACAAAAAACTTCAGTAAAACAAAAGTAAAGTTTAAGGGCCGTGTTGGTTTAGACAGAAATTACAATACTGATGTTTTACATATGTATTGTAATTTCTGTCTAAATTTACTACAAATGTTTTACATACAGGTTTTATTTTCTTGGCTTAAATATGGGAGAAAGAAAAAAAATAGATTTAGTTGCATTTAAGCTTAGTTAGCATAGCAATTTCCCCTCCTCCTTAACTTTCTGATTTAATGCATCCTATTATTTTGTTCAGTCTATTATTATACATCTTATTAAAATAGTTTTAGTAAAAGATAAAACTTCCATTTAACTCTTTTCTTCATATCTATCGATATTGGTTTGAAATATCAAATCAGTATTGGAATTTTGCACACACAAAAATACAGCTATAAAATAGCCTTTTTAAAGTTGATACAGCATTAAGAAAGACTAAGAGTTTCTGAAATATTTTCATACAAAATCTGTTGTGTTAAGCATTGAAAGGTTATGAGAGGACCTGCCTTCAGCTATTTTTAAAATGCTTAGCATAATTTATAACTAGCTATCAATATCATGGTGACGATGTTAACTGCAAGATTGAATATATAAAAAGCAAAATTTGTCTGATTAATGGCATATGTGAAGAAATATTAAATGAAGATGATATAATTTAAATCTCAAATTTCGATAACAATGCCCCAATCATCAGCCTCCTAATATCTATATACAGGGGGATTCTAAACTGTTTTTGCAAATTAAGAACGGTGATAGTACTCATCCAGATGAGCAATAACTGCCATACAATACAGGGTCGCATTCCACTCTCAGAGTAAGAAAAGAGGAATATTTGAATTCCAAACTGAACTTACAACAGTGTCAGGAAAGCGAATAACCGAGACCAAAAGTTGCGCAATCAGAGTTATTGATTAGTGAAAAACTCACTGAGAGTGCTCAAAATGCCGGCCACGCATGTCGTTGCACAGTTGACATCAGCATAGGAACATCTGGAGCACACTCTCAAAGATTCCTGATGTCGTGTTAATTTTGTCCATGGCAACGACTCTTGCCATGAGATCTTCAGCTGAATCCACAGGCATCTCATACACTAAAGATTTCATGTGCCACCTAGAAGAAAAAATCCAGTGAGGAAGGAGGCCAAGCCACAGGGCCGCCACATTCGATCCATCGTGTGGGATATGTGGCATTCAAAAATTTACGAACCATGATGGAAAAATGTGCCGAGGCTCCATCCTGCATAAGGTTAGGTTATTTAATTACGGCAAAGCCTCGAGGGCTACCTGCCTAAGGGGAGGGATGCCTTTGTGGAGGACTTTCTAAGGGAAACTGGCTCATATACACGTTACACATGGGGAAAACCACGAAAACACCCATGCAGCCAGCCCGTTCGCGGGATTCGAACCTCGGACTGAACTACCAGTGTTCAGCAACTTTACCGCTCAGCCGCTGGTGGGCCCCATCCTGCATAAACTATAAGTCTGTCTAGATGGGAAGCGGAACTACCTGCAATAACCTGGGAAGCCACTGTTCTAAGGACATACAGTATGTTGAGATGGTCAAACAGTCTGGCATGATGTAAGGACCTACCAGGTAATCACCTAGGATATCTGCCCCAGACGTTCACAGAAAATTTCTGCTGGTGTTTATTAGAGGTACTACACTGGAGATTGCTGTCAAATTAAACCTACTGATTGTGGACGTTGAAAATGCCCTCTCTGCTGAATGTTGCCTAATCACTTAATAATATTAATGCAGGAAATCGTGGATCATTATTCCTTATTCCAAGCATCCACTGCACAAAATCTGTGCCTTCTGTGTATTAGTTTAGTGAAAATTAGTCTCAAGTGAGTTGGCGACTATTTTTTTTTGGGGGGGGGGAAGGAGGTGCAGAAACCAATCATTTTTCTTTGAATACTAAAACCTGGATATAATCCTACTGTTTTATTCTATGTCTATTTCCCATATTTGATCGACAGCCATTTCATGTCTCTTTTTGGATGGCATTACTCAAACTAATCAAATTTTTTCATTTTACACACACACAACAAGGAAATAAAACTCAGAATTGTTATGAAAATTTATAATGCATTTTCTCTACATTATTTTATTTACGTATTAAAATATATATGATAACCATACTTACTCGCCCATCTAACATATCACCATACACAATCATGTCCTCTCTAGTAACACCTACTAGTGTTAAGGGAGGCAAAGCTGGCCCTGATTGATTTGGATGTTTATGACACAACAGAGCTTGTCTCCTCAGAAGCTCATTATGAACTGCATCACCAATAATTTTTGTAATGCCAGTATTGGTACCCTGAGTGAATATCCACATTTCTGTCGTGTTGGCTGCCTAATATGCACAAAATACACAGTATAAAATAGCAGACTTACATAATTAAATAACATCTTGGTTGAACAAGTTATTTAACAAGAAGAAACTGAATCAAATACACTTAAGCAATTTGTTAACATACATAAGTGAACTTTGAAATAAAAAAGTAGTAATGCAAAATATCACAAAATAAAGCAAAAGAGAGGGCTCTTGGCACTGTTCAAATAATGGGGACCTTTATAATAAGGAAGTACCATACATAATTTGAATAACTTTGTTTTCACTGTCTTTTCCCAATAATTCTCTCAACATGAAAAACTCATCAGAAGTTTCCAGTAAAACATGCCTCTTCTGTCTTAATAACATAATAACACATTTTACATTGTCAAAAGTTTTTTTTTCCTGGATTTTTCGCTGACAAAATACCTAACAGCTTTGCAAAAATAAAAAAAGTACATTTTTTGGGGGGAGAATGGTAAAAAGCATGAAATGAATTTTGCACAAAAAGCTAACATATACCCGAGTATCAAAAAAATTACAAGGGATAACAAAAATATGTACGATAAATTAAAAAATAAATAAAAATCTGAAAGCTTTCAGATTTTATATTATGCCCAAAGGGAATGTGAAGGTTTCTTTTTTTTTTTTTTAAACGTCTTTTAAACATCCTTCATTTATTAAATACGGTACAAAGTGTGTAATCCGGACTCGTTGGGACTTCAACGATTCCGGATTATAGATCATCAATTTAAATCTGGTAAGACGGCATGCAGAAATTATACAATTAAAAATATGAAACCGTACTACAGTATAAAGTCCGTAATCCGGACATCCAATTATTCGTAAAGATCTATAATCCAGACCTCAAAGCTACAAACTTACGCATTTGTGTTTAATGCGTGCGTTCGCAACGCATGCGCGTAAAGCATTTACCCATGCGTGCTTCCGATAGTGAAGAAAGTGACAGAGAGGTTATTGAAAACGAAAAAATTTCGATTGACAAGTTAGTTGGTATTCTCGACACAGCAATTACAGGATTTGAACAGTGGAGCTTTGTAACTAAACATGCAATTATGTCTTTTATGGAAGAGAGAATTAAAAAGAAAATATTAGCACAAAAAACGAAGCAACTTAACCCCCCAAGCGTTATGGCTTTTTCAGGAGCGTTACGGCTGTCGCAAAAACGGCAAGCATTTTGACTCAAACTACTTCAAAAGCAGTTATTTTCTTAGAAAATACTTTTTAATATACAAAGGGAATTTGTGAGAATTTTTCCCGTCATGTTCTAATTTTTCGAATACAAATTATTTGCAACTTATTTTAATATTATGTTTATATTTAATTTTCAAATATTTTAAGTTTATTCCAGATTAAAGTATTAGATTTAAATAATTCTTTAGATTGCATCATAAATTTATTAGTAGTTAGTTATTTATGACATCATTTTGACTTGTGAGAAAAAAGTATTGTAATCGTGAAAAATTTCGATTTTCATATTTCAAAGAAAATTTCCATATTGATTAGTTCCATCATGGCGCTTACATGTACGTATGTTGCATAATTTCACCATAAAATGCTGAAATTTTATATTTGGAACTTATGACTAGTTTTAGTGTGGCGTGTGTCCGTACGTATGTATTCATGTATATCGCATAACTCAAAAACAGTAAACCATAAAATGTTGAAAGTTTCTATACGCGATTGCTATAACATCTAGTAGTGCACCTTCCTTTTTATTGCAATCGGCAGTTCCAAATGGGCATTTTGAAATGGAAGATCCTATTTCATTTTCAAACGAAATAGGTTTAAATGAAGTTTAGCAAAAAATGTGTTTAATTTATTTGGTGTATAAGGAAGTCGTGATGTGAGCATCAGATTTTTTAAGATATTTCAAAATAAATAAATATATGGTTTGAATACCAAACGATCTCAAATATACGAGCTTTATTTGTAAATATTTTACAGGAAAGATAAGAAGTAATCTAAATAGCATACCTTGAAGAGAAACACATTAAATACACTTTTTTTAAAGCAAAATTTAAAGAATAAGTGATTAAATTTTCTTTAAATACCTTTTGTAAAATATTATTATTATTATACACCAGAGAACAGGGGCTCCGTTGCCTTGCAGCCTAGCAGACTGCCTTACACGGATTAAAGCCTCTGCCTCCGGAAGCTATCTACTACCCGCTCCACCACAACCGGGGGGGGGAGAGGTCAGACTGCAATTACTGAGTCTTAAAGCAAAGAGATACATGGGCAAACAAGCCAGTGTGCAACAGGGGTTTCAATACATAGTCTGGATTTACAATTTTTTCTTCCAATACATACGTCATATATTTATCACAGCTTATTTACAATCAGTCCTTTGCTACATACGAGGCGTATTCGGAAACTAAGTACCGTTTTGGGAAAAAAAAAAAAAAAAAAAGTAAAACAATTTTTTCGAATCCAATTTTATTTTTACATGAAAATACATGTCTTAAACTATTTTTCAACATAGTTTCCGCCAATGATCAAACACTTGTCATAGCGGGTGACCAGTTTTTGTATACCATCGTCAAAGAAACTTCCCGCCAGTTTCGATAACCACAACTCCACAGCAATTTTCGTGTCATCGTCAGATCCAAAGCGCTTGCCACCAAGCTCGCGCTTCATGTGCAGGAACAAGTGATAGTCGGACGGCGCCAAGTCCGGGCTGTACGGCGGGTGATCGAACTGCTCCCAATGAAACTGTCGAATTAACGATTGAGTGACACCAGCAGTATGGACCTCAAAGCTACAAACTTTGCGCATGCGTCGAGTGCGTGCGCGAGCCTAGGCTGCAATTGCTTGCGCATCGTTTAGCGCGCCTATTATAACGATGTTAGTAGCTAAATCTTTCAGTAGTCAGTTGATTGTCTAATTGAATGGATCGGCTTATTATTTGTGCTGTTGTGTAGCGAATTTAATTTAATTAAGTGATTCATAAAAATCAAAATTTTAATTTGTAATTATTCAAAATTTGAGCTACACAAGTTTGGTTATATTCTTTTTGGGCCTATTAATTCTAGTGTAATATATTTTGGCTTTCCGAGTTTACGCGAACTGCGTCTTCAATCTTGTACACGCAAACAATGGATAAGTATTTTTTTTTCTACGTAATAAACTCAGTTTTTCATGTCAAAAATTAATTTGATTTCTTAGTATTTAATATCATTAGTTGCAGAAAAATTAGCTCTTTAATTTGGCATAACTTTCATTTTTCTAACTTTAATTGCATTTCAGTTATGAGCTTTAATTAGTAGATTTTTCTTCGTTTCGCTTGTGATTTAGTTAAAGGGGGATGAAATGCCTTCTTTCCGGTTGAAAAGTCACTTTTTGCGAGTTTTCAGCGTTCTTTCGTTGGGACCCTTGCAGGGTTGTTGAAAATTCCTAATTTCCCCCCGGTCACAGGTGGTTTTTATTTGGCGAGGGTTTGGCGACATAGATTTTCCGTTGAGGTTTCAAAGTAGTGGTTTTGGCGAGTTTGATAACATGAGGGTATGCTGTTGTTGCAACTATTTTAACTTTCGGCGAAGAATGGGTTGCGCCAACTTGGCAGTCCGGCGCTCTCCCTTTTAACGGGTTGTTTTTGTGGACGAGCGCACTTTTTTTTTTTTTGCACTTTTTGACTTCTTTTGCCCTTTGAATTGCCGAGGCCGACAGCTGACTCCGACGAAGAAAATGGAGCTTCGCCCCCGATAGACCTACGGGCCTCTTGGCTAAGCGCTGTGAGCGCGGGCCGTAGGTATGGGCATCTATGTCTTCGAAAAAAAAAAAAAAAAATCGAAATTCTTTCATCAGTTTTTTTTTGTTTGTGTGTGTTTGTGTATCTCAAGAAAAATATACAGAAGTAAATTTCTAGAAAAATGATGCGCACCATTGATTCGTCGTCGCTTCACTCAGAACCAGAGCGTTAATTTACAACCGTTGCTTTTTTGGAACCTCATTTGCCTCATCCTAAAATCTACTAGAACTTCAAGGCTACCGTAATGAATCCTTACTGTTCGACGAATTTTTTTTTTCCATTCAACAGGCTGCCAGCACTGTATTTCACTTAGCTTGCCGTATTGGAACCTCATTTGTTTATCCTAAAATCTACTAGAACTTCTAGGCTACCGTAATGAATCCATACTGTTCGACAAACATTTTTTTTCCCATTCAACAGGCTGCCAGCATTCCTCATGAGCTTCGATGGATTTTTTTTTTTTTTTTTTTTGTTTGATGCTCCTTCTTCTGCTCATGGAACAGATAAGTTCTTTTCTTTTTTTTTTTTTGGTTAATTCTTGGTTAGTTAAATATTATAGATTTCTGCAGTTAAAATGATTGAATTAACTTAATTTGTTAATTTGTTAATTTGTTGAACCCTAAATTTTTTTTTGTAGTTGATAACTTTATCCTAACTCTATAGAAATCATTTTTTTTTCTTTGGTGTATCAATCAAGTAAAAGCATTAAATGGAATAAAGATTTATAACCTTATTAAAATTATTGTAACTTAACTTAATGGTTAAGAAAATTAAGTTCTTCAGGAAATTATTTACTTGAATGTTTTTTTTTGAATTACTCATTGGTGAGGATGATTTGTAATAGTGCTTGTATTAGAGCATTCTTGTTTCTCTCAGGACGAACTTGTTTGTAGAATAGTAAATGTGTCATTACTTACTTTATCTTTATCCGGTTAAACCATATTTAATTAATCAAAAAAAAAAATTAATAAATAATAAAAATTATTATGTGCAATAATAGTATTTAAATGATTATATTGAGTGCAATATTAAGCAATATTTTTTTTGTTGTATTGATGAATTCTGTGTGAAGTAGAAAGTGTAGCTTGTTAATTTTTTTTTTTATTATTTTTTCTCCCCGGGGAGGGTAGTGTTTCTTAAATTTATAGTTTATTTTGGTATGTTTTTACCAGATTTGCAATATTAAATTTAATAGTAATTACAAGGATGTTAAAAAAATAATTACTTGGAAATGTTTGATGTGTAAAAC